GGAGTGGACGCCCGTGAATAGGTGCAATCCAGACGAACTTGCAAGCAATGACGGACGGGCAAATTAAGTATTGACATCAGTTACTGAGGCATAAGCAGACCCTAAGCCGGGACGAAACAGGGGGAAAACGAGCAAAGAAACGAAACGGTGTCATAATAAACAGATGCGAGTCACGTTACTCATGAGTAGTCAGAAAACAAGGAAGGTTACCGCTGGTCACCGTTGATTCGCAGGCGGAATCAACATGCATGTTTTTCGATATATGGTACCACTAGACTTGGTAAGCCTCCATACACTCAGTTGGCATAGCGTGCAAATTAGCTTTTGCATCAACCTCAGCGGGAGATTCTCGGACCCATTTCATTGCAAAGCCGCTGTTACTAGAAGCAACCGTCCTGCTCTATGTTCTGCTGTCTCCAGCGCTATTATTTGTTCTGTCTAGCTCTATTTGAAATCGATTCACTCTATTGGCCTAATTTCCCCAATAACTACACAACTCACGTTCGGTAGCCGCACATCTATGACTTGGATAAATAATTTCTGTGAGAAGGAGAATGAGGTGAAGGGTCGGGAGAAAGCATCCTAACGAGCACTGTTGTATGTTTAACACTCCAGAATGTCTAATGATCAGGCGGGCTGTTTGGAGACCCGGAAGATAACAAAGGGTCCTAATAAAAGGGACATTTCTAAAGGGGATGTTATTTGGAGATGACTGTTTGGATGGAGAAGATGGACGAAACGGCTCAAGGCAAGGAATTTTCACCGAATTATCATACACAAAATATGGCAGAACTAATAGCCATTCAGCTTTCTTGCAAATGACTGCGCGCAACTAAGTTACACTTTTTAAGGTGAGTTGCTCACCATTTTCTTCCCCATTTCCTTCCTCATTTCATTCTAAATGATACCCTCGGTATCCAGGATATCGAATTTCTATTGTCAAGACCTCTTCAAAAACAGTCCCGGTATTACACTTTGTGAAATTTTTTATAACTGAGCTGTAGTGTAGCCATTTGTAAGTGAGCTCTCTCCGAAGACAGCTGACCCCGGTGACCTCAAAATTACTCGAAAACTTTCGAAGTTCAAATTTCAACCATAGAAATGTGCCATATTTTACACAACAGTTTGCTTAATATTGCGCCTGGTCATCTGTGACAGTCAACTAGCTGGAATGTTACCTAGAATTTCTCATCGAAACTAGTCTTGTGTGGTCACATAGGAATGATGAATATACTAAGTTTACAATGTGTTCAGTAAATCAGTACTGAAAGTACCTCCACGTAAGACTTACGTGCGCACATGCGAATATATGTGCAGGGTTGTAAGCTAGTGTGGTTAACTAAGAATGCAGGGTTGACTGTCCTCATTCTCTCAGGCATTGCATAACAGTTCCAAGCCTGGAAGAACATAAGGTCAGGCACGCACCCTGCATTATACAGGTATCGCGTCGATACTACCATTAGGCATAGAAATGACCGGGAACACTCCACTTGTTCCAGACAATGGAACTGGAATGTTCAAACTGGGATACGCACATGAACGGTTTCCTCGTGCAGTTCTTCCGACACTTCTTGGCACCCCAAAATATCCGTGTGTGCTAGTTGATGAGCTAGCCGACCATATTTACGTTGGACAAGAGGCTCTCAATAGGCATGGAGTTCTGACGCTGTCCAATCCAATGAAACAGCGTGGTCGCCGACTGGGACGCACTAGCTGCCTTTGTGAATACATATTCTCAAAAGACTTAAACGTTGATAAGAAAGAACAGTCGCTTCTAGTCACCGTATCCTCCTTTCTCCCGGCAACCCAGCGTGGAAATTTGGTCACGATATTTTTCGAAACATTTGAAGTTCCGGCGCTGTATATCATTGATCAAGCCTTGCTAGCATTGTATGCTTCTGGTAGAACCACTGGCCTGGTTATCGATTATGGCGAAGGGTCCACATGTATCATATCGGTCTACGAGACTTACTACATTAGTGCTGCAACGTGTTGTCACATGGCTGCTGGAAACACAGTGACCCAGCATTTGAAATGTCTTTTGCCTGAGATAGGTTGTCGAATGTATACATCAGCCGAACATGAAATAGCCCGGGAAATCAAAGAGCGGACGTGTTACGTTGCGATGGATTACCAAGAAGCGTTGAAAATATTCCTCACTGGTCAGATACCACCAGAAGTGTATTCTTTGTCAGATGGACGTCATCTCCGTCTCATATCTGAGCGTTTTCGTGCTCCTGAAGTCCTGTTCAGTCCCAATCTTTTTGGATTGGAATTTCAAGGGATCACTTCACTTATAACAGGGTACATAGACCGTTGTCCGACGGATTTACATTAACATTTGCTGCCTAATATTGTTTTAAGTGGTGGAACAACTCTTCTGAGAGGATTTACAGAAAGACTAATGGAAGAACTACGAGCGAATGTTTCGTCAGGCTTACCACTAATTATCAGTTCTCCTCCTTACCGTCAGTATACAGTTTGGCTTGGCGGATCTGTCCTGGTTTCTTCACAAAGTTTTGCACCAATGTGGATAACTTTGCAAGAATACAAGGAACTGGGAAGTAGAGCAGTTCTAGACAAATGGTAGAAGTGTTCAAAGTGACGGTTTCGTGGTTGGATTGTTGAATCACATTCAGTTGCCACTTCATCCCTGCATTTATTTCGCCTTTACAGTTAGGTTGGAAATCAATACTAACCCACTGATTCTTTTCTGTAAACGATTACATTTAAACATGCTTTCAAAGTTTGTGGGACAATGGCTCTAACTTATTTTGATTGTTCCCTCCAATGCTTAGGCTGTAAAAATCCTATTATGTTAGCTTTTATGAGCGATGAAACGTCTTAATCTATACATTAAAGATCAGGTTTGTATTAGAACTAAACATAACCAATAGCTTACTTATTCGTGGTTTCAAACTCCGACTTATCAAAAAGGTTGAGTGTGAGTGAGTGAAAGCAAGAAAACATATTCTATTATGACGATGATATACGACGTTTAACAGTAAACTGAAACAATGTGTTTGTAGGAACTTCAAGGATCACGTTGTGTGTCTGTAGAGGCAGGCAAGAATATTTTTTCACCTTGCGGTTAAAAACCACTTACAGAACAAGTTGGATATTCTTTTCAACTTTTCTCAGTAAAATTTATTCAACAGTTTCCGCTAACAGTAAAGTTTTTATACGACATGATGGTGAATTTGCCGTTGGTACACTCAGTTTAGCTAGATTACATGATAATACGGTGCTAATCAGCACATTCTTCGAATGTGCTAGGCGTCTACTACATGTACATACGAGAAATGGTGTATGATCAAACAGAATAACCTCCTAACGAGACTGTAATTCATTGAGCTGACTAGTGGATCTCCTGGTCCGGAGCGAAACGTCAGACATTATTCAGTCGTACCTTTAGACTATGACATTCCCGTCCTATCTTTATTCGAGCCTACATTTTTTCTAGTAGCCGCGGATGGTGATCGAAAAAATGCAGAACTCAAGTTTTACAACTATAGCCGACAGGTGGAAGGAGTCTGAGGGGGGAGAAAGTGACAGACTGCCAACAGATATATGCCGAGTTTTCGAGTGGGAACTTGTTTTGATACCACCTTCAAAAACAAAGCCAGGTTGCAGCAAGAAGACTGTAAAACAATTCGTGTAGCTTTTCTTTAACTAAGCCTTATGCAAATTCCAGATAGATCCAATATGACTTCAACTATGGTCTCTCCTATTTCAAATGAGGGCTGTGCCAAAACAAATTTTACACCGCCTGTCTAGAATTAGGCAACCTGACAGTATCTCAGCACTCATGCTTTTCTCGGTTGGCATGGCAGCTAGGCATCGAATGAGTGCTAGAACTGTATCATTGTTTTTCTCATTATTAAAATGTACACTAGAATCGAGGACAACAATGCACCGTCTAATCCTACCTGCTCTATTTGATCAGACTGGGTACAGCTCGTGAATACAAGAGATTCGAACAAACTAAATTGATTCCAAGAGAAAATGAGGAACTCAACCGCATTACCTAAACACTCATTCAAGTCCACAAACTACTGAATAAATCGCGGGCTTCATCCCAGCCAACTAAGTATAAAATAAGGCTGTTCGAGTGTGCCACCTGGGATATGAAGATATTTACCTTTAGCGTCTCACTTTATAGTGTTACAATTCATCTCAATATGCTGTCAAAACCACCTTTTGAACTATTAATAAGAAATGTCCCACAGTCGAAACATTTTAAGCCCCATCATACTCTGTGTAGACGTTTTCACTTAATCAAACTTATTACAATATAATAGTGAACAAATCGTCTTGTTTTGAAAGACAGTTGTATTTGTCCAGTTGGAACTTCTCGCACTGTCTTGAAGCAGGGAATGCAGATCTGTCGGCTCGAGCAAGATCAAGGCACTGAAGTGCCCAGGCAGCAATCAGAGACTATGGTCTCCAGATAGCACAGCGGTTAACGCACGAACTCACTGGTCGGAAGGCTGGTGGTTCAAACCCGATTTCAGCACCTCGACTACTGATGTCTAAGCTTGGACAATATCTGAGCCCTCATGCTTCCATCGGTTGACATGTTAGCAAAGCACTGGAAGGGTACTAGAGCAGAACTATTTTCCTAAGGCAGTTCGCTCGACTGGATATTACGAAAGGTTACTAATGCATGGAAATGTAGAGAAATACCACAGAAATGTAAAACATTAGCAACATTAAGGTACACCAATTATGTGGGACTCCGAGCAGCAAACCGAAAGATTGCAGTTTTTCCCAAACCTGTATTTCTATATTGCGTGCATGTCCATTACAACCGCACCAAAAATAGGGGATCAGGAGGTCCTGAGTTCTTATCCAGACTGGTTGGATACTGCACACCTGATATGATAGATCGGATCGTCCGTACATTGACGAGCCTCGCACTTTAAAAGTTGCACTTCGGGTTCCTCTGAAAAACCCGAGGCATCAAAGCGGGTTTCCACTTATTCAATCTACACATCGCGTATCCTGACGGCTGTGCGTACGTAGGCACTATCTCATGGTTGGCTGTCGACACTGCCCTCCCCTCGAGCAACCAATCCTTCAGCTAAGTCAAGAGGCACAGCATAACGGCTCGCCTTAGGGATTTGACATCGACAAACCACCTGGGCTTGATGAAGCAGTGTGCTGGCTTGGAAACGATCGCAGACAGACAAACAAGCTTGACGCAGTCGAAATGGCCAACCGAACGATCTACAGCTATCAATGGAACTTTCGGTGAGCCACACCTGCAGACAGGAAGCGACAGTTACAGCTGACATTATTTCTCTAAAACCGTAGTCACAACAAGGGGAAATTCTACATAAAAGTGAGGCATTTGATAGTGTTTACCCGAGACCCTAAAGGCTCCGTAGATGGTCACAGCTTTGTTAACACTTGCTTAAACTTATTCAACGTCTACTTTGGGCGCGGGATTCAATTTACCAATGGCTGTCTTGGCTCAGCGTGATAGGTCCGTGAATGCGAGTGCAGCAGGCGTCCAGCAAGACAAAGCCAACGTTGAGGAGTTCGTCACAGATAGTAAGTTTAGTGGATTTTAATGAGAAACAGCATACTCTGTACCGAGTGTCCGCTGAATTTCTACCTTCACCTGTATAACGACTCTTTGATGGTGACGTCCTACAACCTGGAGCAGAACCACCCAGTTAGCGAGTTTCTCTTCGACAGGCTCTTCACCAACTGAGACCTAACCTGCGGCAAGTATGAAGAGATGAGGCGTTGTGTGAAATACGGGACGCCGTCATCGGAAGCGTGATGTGCTGCGGATATTAAAGGCCTCATAATCAGCGACCTGCCTAACATTTACAAAGTCAACCAAGTAAGCAACAGGGCATACGATTATGGTGGTGAAGCGACGAAGCTGGTCAAATTTGATGGTAATTTTCCTGTGTTTTTTAGACAATCCAGAACGCTTGACTGTATGCCTTCTTCTGAGAAGGACCTCTAACCAGAACAGTTGCAATCCATGTGCAGCTTGTCTGGAAACACTGCATTATCTTCTGACTAGTTACGCATGGGTAAGAGTAGGGTCACAATGATGCACAGTTATGTTAGGTTATGCTCGCACACGTGACCTTGAAAAGTGGTTCAACTGAAGAACATCTGTGAGCATCATGTCAGCGAAGCACGCACTCGAACTTGAGTAACTCCCTGTAAAATTCACCACTTCAAAATCGCACTCCATAGTTTCGGGAAATTAATCTCGGTTTATACCTAGTAATGATGGTCTTGTGTTCGAAACTTAGGCGACCTAGCAGCTCAAATCAAACAAGTCTATCAGTTGCAGTCCTAGGGTTGGGCATTGACTAGACCACAGCATACTTCAGCAATAAACCTGGAAGTTTCGTGAAAACATGGCAATTTGTGCACTTTTTATTAGAATGTTTTAAGCTCTTTGGGAACACTCACCTACGGAGCAGTAGCTTTAAGTAACAAGTGGGTAACCGGTGCTGAAAGTAGTCAAAACGCAAATCTCTTGCCTGGCGAAGTTGTCTGTGTATATGGTATTGCATTTTTTTGCAGGATAAAGTTGACAAGCGACCAACAATAACTCATTTCGGATGCCGGGGACTGTAGCTGTCCGGAGAACCCCCCTCCTGTCCATTCTTTGTACAACCTTTAGTTAGGACACTTAAAACACCGCTTTTGGACTGGAAGACAATCTAAAATCGAGCCCATTTCCGACTCATCTTAATTTTGTTCGTGGACATTTGAGGGAAACAAACCTTATGTTCATCTGACCACTGCTATTCTCAAAAGTTTCAACTGAGCATCGCACGTTCTTCCCATCGACTGAAAGCAGGTTCAGATATGGTAATCTCTTCCGATATGTTTCGCCGCGCTTCATTTATTCCACAGTTCCCGGTGTCATCCACTATCATGTTTGCGCTAGAGTAGCAACCAAAAGTGTTGAAGCTTTAGAAGTCTGGATACTTACCCAAGAATCGAGCAAGAATGACCGTGATCACTTAAATGAAACGCCATATCTATTTATTAGAACCACACAGGTCAAGTGTATACGTTAAATCACCTCTCAGGAATAATGGAACCGGCTTCAGTGGACCACCAGCCTAGTGTGTAAAGACGATACAAGAATGTAAAGCTTGAACAATCTAGGCGAAAGCGACCCATAGCGAACTGCCAACTCAGTAAACATTCACACATGCCAGCTTAGTGAGATGTGTGACGTATCTGAGATGAGCTAGCACACGTTACCACACATCTGTGTACAATCACAGGATTCGTCGTGGATTTGGTATGCCCACGTCACTCCTGTTTGAGCAGTTCTCTTTCTGCCCTGGAACTGAACTGACGCGCAGTCTCATCTGCATTGCATAGACCACCACTAGTAATATTTGTTTCGGTCCAGTGCCACATGCATCACCTTATTTTACACGGGCTCAGGTTTTCTTCCTTTTTCAGGGTAGTATGAGGTATCAGCTACGGCCGACATCACGGTACTTTGTTCTAAGGCACTCATGAGTGTGTTGATTGGGTCCTTTCTTCTTGTCGTCTGTCTAGCAAGCACATTGAGCGAATTTATCCAATGCTGTCCAGCTGCGCAGCTATCATGAGATTCATAGGGGACTGAGTTACACCAGGTCTCACCACAGCGGGTTTGTTGCATTCACCTCATGGTCCTTTGAAAATGTAGGCACAAAGCCGAACTTCAATGCGCTCCCAGAAGAAGGATGCCACCAGCTTGTCGTCCGGTGTTAAGCTTAGGCGGGGGGCACAAAGTATGGCATTTGAGTTTTGCGAATCGGTGACTTGATCACAAGGAAGACAGAGATCCCGCAAATCGGCGGCATAGGGAACGAATTACCAAAATCGAATGATCGATAGCGAACCGACGAATCAATAAATGACGGCACACATGATTTTTTGGTTTTCTGCACTGTGTATCTGGAATGAGATAACACGCGTGACTGCGTGTGTATGCACAAGACAAGCTGTCTGATTTCTCTTCATCAGACTAGAACATATTCATTGAATAGTAGAATCTGTGGATTGGAATTCATTTCTTGAAGATCAACTCGTGGTTACTCAAAACCCTGCATGGAGTATAAAACTCACGTGACCTATCAAGTGACTGGCCGATCACGTGTGCGCTAACGCCGGTGAAATTCGCTTCTGTGTACGAAGTTCAGGCTGTCAAGTCCTTGTGCCACTGGCTTCCTCATTAGCTGCTCTCTTCTTTCTTCACCGATAACTTTTCCAGTATAAAGCTGTCGCAGTATTTGCATGTGGTCTCGTGTCCATTAAATGGCCATGTTGTGGGTTCAGTGGTCTCACAAATCTTTGAGCATAAGCCAGGAACATGAAAGGATATATGACAATAACCACCATGTCACTAGATTTCTCACATTTTAAACAATCTAATTAATTATATTACAAGGATCCCAGCGCTACTCAGTGAAGGGAATGGGGAAAAAAACTGGCCAAATTTGGGTCGAAATGATTTTCGTGCCCAGACGACCGCAAGCCAATTATACTTTGAAGCTAGAGCTAAGATGCCCCACTGAAAAGTGTATACTTTTTTTCACGAGGCTTCCAGTTTACTGCTAACGTATGCAGCTTTCCAAATGACGGTCATCCCTGAAACTGCACTCGAGGGAATTTTTTGGCTCATCCTACTGACAGCATAAGCAACTAAGGTTCGGTCATAAGGTTTGCTCCGTCAAGGCTCCTTAGTATTTGGCTGTCACTATCATGTTCTGACTGCGATTGCCCGAAGAAATCGGTTTCTTTAAGTTTAGCTGAAGGTTTGCGCTTGTTTCCCTGCCAACGTCTGCCACGCGCGGCTTCGCAGTTAAACTTGGGTGTGCATTCCTATTGGTTCGTTCGTTTTTACTTCACATTGCCTACCGTCTTACAATTTATCCATGGGTTAATCCACTGTGATACCAACACATTTCAAAACTCAGCATTTCACTCGATTTTTCAATCATCCTGTCTGTGCTTCGCGTTTTCGCACGTGTTCACATACGCGACTGCGTCTGGCGCACGCGTCACCATTTGTGTGACGATAGACGTAGTTACCTCTACTTCTTTGTGTATATGTACGACAGTGAGCTCAGTTTTTCTTTGATTCGGACATGAGGCCTTTCGGCATAGCTTAGTCAGTCGATCAAGGCTACACGGGGCACCCACCCTCTCAGGAATATTGGACAGAGAGATCAGCTGAGAATGAATAAGCGGAATCACTGGTATGAGTGCACGGACAAGCACCAGCGGCGAACGCAATCGGGCTCACCAACCGAACGGCCCTCATCTGTAGTTGGGATGCGACGCAAACGGCAGAAAGAAAATTCCATTTTGAAGCTTCGGGCGCACGTAAACAACACGAGTCAAACAGCTAACTCGACTGTAGTTTCAGAGTGATACGTGAGTACCAGTATACTTCAGCACTGAAATTAGACATTTAAAAGGAGTATATTTGTCGACATCTGTCCAGTTTGGGTTCAAGTAGAACATAAGTTTGACGGAAACTCCGGTTACTGCCCTCCCTGATGAGACCCAAGGAGGTCAAAACCAGTCGTGGGCTGTCGTGGGCTTTCAGTATCCTAGTGAGTAGTTTCCTTTATAAAAATTAAGCGTGTTATGTTAATCTAGCTACCTAGCTTCGAAGGATATTTGACAAGCAGTGACCCGAAATGACCAATTATTAATTTATTTCAATGAATCACATGTGAGTCATTGCAATTTACTCTTTTAAATAAGGTGGCTTGCAACAATGCAAAATTTGGTGGCGCTATCGGGCCCAGAACACGATCGTGAAGGAAATGTGAAACCCCGGTCGGTCGACTGTACATTATTTTGTTGCTAACAGACCGGCCGTGGTGGCGGTTGATACCAGACATTTGGAAAAAATGAAGCCACAGCGGAGCATGCCCAGACAGGACAGAGTATATGAACCTCTTTTCATTGGATAAAAGGGGTACACGGAGCCGCCAAGTAAAAATTTCTAGGTTATATATGATCCCGCAAACGTGTTCCTGGTCAGTATACTTACCATTCAGTCATACTTATCCCATCATATATAGGTGAACACTGATTGAGGCCTGGATTATAGATGAGTGGTGCACAATGCTCTTTCCCCTGAAGGTTGCCTCTCATAAAGCCAGAACAGATCAGCGGTAGGCTCAGGCCCGAACTGTCCCAATCTAAGTGAATTCATTAAGAAGATGGGCTGATGGTGAATTTCACCGTCCGATTTGGGCCCACTGTACGCCCATCATCCCTACTCATGTGTGAAGCTCAATAACAGAACAGAAGACTAGTGGCCTTCTCTTGGTTACTCAGTCATTCAGCCATGAGTAATGTGATAAGGCACAGTGGTTCTCGCTGTTTCAGTTTCGTCAAACAAGAATAGGGAGAGCAGTAGGATGACAGCAGCGCATGGAATAGTTTAGAAGTAGAGGTGAACAGAAAGAGTGCTGACCGTCAGCTGATACCTCATAGGCCAAGTTGTTGCAGAAGTTATAGCGTCTATTGAATACAGAGCAGACTAAGTCACGCCTAGATAATCTGCTGCATTAAGAGATCTGTTTCATCGGTCTTACTATGAAGCATTCATTATTTTACAAAATTGCAGAAGTATAACGTCTATTGAATACAGAGCAGCCTAAGTCACGCCTAGATAATCTGCTGCATTAAGAGATCTGTTTCATCGGTCTTACTATGAAGCATTCATTATTTTACAAAACTCCAAGTAAAAGACGGTGAAACAATGAGTTCAGAGGGAACATATGCACTAAGAGATGTTTGATTATTATTTAAATAAAGGGATGGTCTCTCTGTTTGATAGCATAAAAATTTACCGAGGGATTACATTTTCAGTACGAACTGCTGGTTCGGCTTATTATGCCGTGAAATTTGGTGTTCCATTAGAAAAGCCGGGGACTTTCGTCTTTATGTTGGCGGTCCACTTTATTTCGGAATTCTGACACTACGTAGCCCTGTGTCATTATCCCACAATCATCAGCGTCTCAGTATGTTCTGTGTCTAGGGTGCCACGTATACTGGATTGTTCGGGCAGGCGCTGAAGCAAGATCGTTTTGTCAGCGCATAGAGATCAACGGCAGTTCGGACGTGATTCCAGCCGAAAGAGTCATGTTTATATTCACTAAGAGTGTACTACTCTCCACTCAAGATGGAAGGGTTCAACAAAAACAAACCTAAGTTGTGATCCCACCACCGTGCGTTGTTGACCGTAGCGGAAGCTGAGTTAACAAGGCACGACCAAAAATATTCACACTAATCCTACTAAAAATCTCATGGATTAGTTTACCATGTAAAATACAATATTTTGAAGACAAGCGCCATACTTTTTACTCTGTATGGCCGTTTTGGCGAAGGGGGCTTTCGGAAAAGCGATCCTTCCAATCACTTTTACTTGTGGCAAAGCGGAGTTGATTGTTCTCCTCCCAAGAGACTAGGTCTGCAAGACACATCACCTTCGTTGCCATCGTACTTAACAGGCAAAGAATTCATGCGAAATACAGGCCTGAGATTGACAGGACGAAATCACGTGACTGTCTTCAGTAAATAAGCTTCAGCGCCATCCTACACGAAAGGTTGCAATGCCATGTTTTATGTCAAAGTTGATGCTCTGCTTCAATCAGGTTTGAAGTTGACAGCATTCGCTTGCTAAAAAACTTCAAAGTGCGTGGTAATCGCCTGTTGTCAGGTCTTCCTGGTCGCCATACCATTCAGACGGCAAACACCGACAGCTAACGATTTCTTAGACAGCACTATTCACGGAGTTGACATCACCTATATGAAATTTCGTCTCAAATAGCAAAACATTGCCACAGGGCGCCCACATGGAGGCTGCGTTCATCTACTCGATTACGGTACTGTTCGCTAGATAAACGCTTGAAATGTGTACGTCACACAAGTGATGAGGGCAGCTGGCTGCGAAACAGACAACTAACCAGTCCGGAAGAAGCTCAACGTCCAGCATTGTAAACCACAGTACGCATGCCACATTACCAAACGCGTAAAGATTGTGGCAAAACATTTAAGGCATCAGAAAATCAGCTTACTGTATCATCAGGCCTCCACAAAGAAAGCTAATCGACAGATGTGTGGTGAATCTCAAAGCACCAAGTGATGACTAAGGCAGTCAGCTAGATCCGGCAACTTCACCCACGAGTGGTTTACCGATAACATGTAAATCTGCTTGTAACTGGAATGAACTAACCACTTATCTAACAGCTTTCTTTGAAAAATCAGCAATATAAAGAGGTTTAAATCAACCTGTGTCGTCAACTCATTCCGTCAACAACGAACGGTAGAGAACTTGAAGTTAACAGAAGACTAGGAAATATGCTGCTCCGCGAAGAATTTAGTGATGGCCTGCCAAATCGACCGAAATTCCCCAGCATCCTGACGCAGGACCGAAACAGACGTCGTCTGCTTTTGGATACGTGGCACAAGCACTCCAACAAACTACGGAACCACCTAGATAGCGTCAACCAGACTACGGTGAACGACGACAGATGAAACTATCCCGAAATTTCCCTTCGACTATTGAAGAGGTAAGGCAAGTGGGCTCGCAACTGCGGAATGTCAAGGGAGCTCGAAAAAACGTGTTTACATTACAACTGTTCATGTTTCGTAGTCCAACTGTTGATAATGCACCTTTTCGATAATCTAAGATCAGTTGGCAGGAAATAAAGTTCCCCTAGAATCCAAGAGATCTCTAATCTTGCCATGCTACCACGGAAGAGGAAGCAGGCATAGAGTCATCAGTTTATTGTGCTCTCCGGGAGGCCTTCTGACACGAATACCATTCAATCGTTTGACAATTGAATTGATCGAAACTCATATCCGCAGATACTTCAAGCTGATCACAGCACAGTCGGTCGGCATCTTGCTGCATGACAGCATCGAAGAATTTCCTGCGAATGTTGTCAGCCGCTCCTCGCCCTGATCATACACCTCAAGAAAAACACCGAACCCACTTCACTGAACAGTTCATCCCAGATTCGGCTGTCTCCCAAAATTCATCAACCTTATCTGGCATTAGTGGAAAGTTGCAAACGGATCTATTAACCTCCAGTGGTTTCGATGCCTTTGCTTCAGTAAAGCAGGAACGCTTCTTTGAACCGGCTCTCTTCAATGTCCATCTAACAACTACAGTAGTTACGACTATCGTTAACGTCCATGTTGGTGTGCAGTTCGAGTTTTGACTTGATAGATGCCTGTTCATTATTAGGTTTTTTGATTAGATAAGTCTGGTTAATTAGATCGGAGTCCATATTCCCATGTTTTCAAACAACTCTGTACTATTCACACGTACGCATGATGAGTTGCAGCAACTGGCTGAGAACCTTTCGACTGTTGCTTCGTAGTCTGACCACAGCACCAACGCAAAGAATAATTTCGTTCTGCACCAGCCTGCACCAGCTGTGGTTCACAGCGTCCTCCGCAAGTTAATCATGTAACGTAGTTTGTGACCTGCCTTAGGGATTTCTGCTACCTCGGAATCACATCGTCCGTTGACTCGACCGTTGACCATCCACCGTTAGTTGATATTACTTGTTGCCAAGGCTAATGTAAGTTTCGACTACCTCGAGAAAAGGTTGGGAGGAGACCAAAGCCTGTTAGTGATAACCGAGCTGCACTTCCGCAAGACAGTGGTTCTAACTATTCTCATATGCGTCATCGACAGACTGACTGTGTACCGGCGTAACCTCTGATAGTCGAACAGCTCTAAAGTGCACTCTTTGGCGTATTTCGACGTGACAAGCCAATGAGACAACCAATGTCAGCCCTACATATTTTCTTTTATTCCAAGATAGCACCTATCATTAAACCATGTATTGAAAATTTAACCTGCATTTTAAGAAAACTTATTCGTGGCTGTTCTCCATTTTCCTGCTGTTGTATTTTTGGAAACCTATAGCTGTGAATACGTCCGTCTCATCGAATGAATTGTGAAACTGACAGCTGTGTCAAATGACATCTGAGAGTGTCTCCACAGCGCATACACACAGCGCGTACTCACAGCGCATACATACATACATGAATTAAACACATTCCGCGAAATCCAACACAGTCTGTCTGAATCTACACATCTTCTGGCATAACATTCTTACTTCTTCCCGCCATATTTTGCACAGAACTTTCACTTGAGTGCTGACGCTTCAGACAGTAACTTCCGGTGCTTTGATAAAGTTCACCCGAGTCCGAGCACTGATCCACATCAGAACAAGGATAAGCTGCTACGTTCATCCAACGCTTTCACACAAGCATGCACACTTTCAAACGCTGCCACTCACCTATCGCACGTATGGTTTCACGTGATCAGCACTCTACCTGACATTCCAGACACAGCTGTGCAAACCCTATACTTTGTAGTCCGATTGCGAGCTTTTCAATAGGTGAAGTGCGCCGATACCGTGGAACCATGATCATACCATCAGCTGGTGTCGTGACCAAATTGTGACCCTACAGGATCTGTTCTCAGGTTCGTTATTACTCATGTTCGACCCTAGTAATCCACCGATTGTGATTGATAATGGCACCGGATTGTTAAAGGCCGGCTATGCTGGGGAAATGGAGCCACGTGCTGTTGTGCCAATGATACTCGGACGTCCAAAACACTGTAAACTTTTAGCTGAACGCAAACGGGGAGAATCAGAATGCTTTGTTGGAGACGTGGCCGGCGGGAAACGTGGAGCGCTAACACTCTCCTACCCTATAGTAAACGGAATTGTGCACAACTGGGATGATCTTGAAACCATTTGGCATCATGTTTTCACGAACGAACTTCGGGTATTGCCAGAATATCATCCTGTACTCCTCACAGAGTCCCCACTGAATCCGAGACCTAATCGTGAAAAGATGACGGAAATTATGTTCGAACACTTTCACGTACCAGCTGTTTACATTTCTATTCAGGCTGTTTTGTCGTTATATGCATCTGGACGGACAACTGGATTGGTGCTGGACTGTGGTGAAGGTGTAACCCACTGGGTACCAGTTTTTGACGCTTATGTTGTACCAAATGCCATCTGTCGACGAAATCTGGCAGGTAGGGAGATCACTAATTATCTCAAAACTTTACTCACTGAGCGTGGTTACAAATTTGTTACAACATGTGAACATGAAATCGCACGAGATGCTAAGGAGAATACGTGCTATGTGGCCATGGATTACGATTCAGAGCTAAGACGTTCCCTTGTAGATGACTTTTGCGAAATGACGTATAGACTACCAGACGGACAGTTACTTCGTATTGGAAACGAACGATTTCGAGCACCGGAGCTAATGTTCAACCCTAAAATGGGCGGTAATGAACACGAAGGTGTTCACTTAACCACCAATGAGTCGGTCTTACAATGTGGAGTGGACATTCGCAAAAGTCTTTGGGCCAACATAATTCTCACCGGTGGAGGAACCATGTTCAGGGGATTCCCGGAGCGACTTCGCAAGGAACTCAGAGCATTGGTTCCCGGTCATGTGCCTATAAAAGTCTTGGCTTCACAAGAACGCAAGTATTCTGTGTGGATTGGTGGAGCTGTTTTGGCATCTCTTACCAGCTTCAGTGAAATGTGGGTAACCAGGAATGAATATACAGAATATGGACCAAGAATTGTTCACCAGCGATGTATATGATCCAGTGGTGGTAGAGAGTAACAAGTGCTGTTTTGGTCTGACCATGCTTTTATCTGTTTCCGCGTTTTTGACAAGCATTTTATATTTGTTCAGAGTGGCCATTGGTGTGCCCATGTTGTGCCTACTATATACATATTTTAAAGGCCGTTTCAAATATGCACTAAATGGGGTGAGTTCGAATGAAAGATGGAAGTGATAATCCTCAAGAATCTGGAGATTGGATATTTATTTGTGGGCCTGTTCATCACTCCGGCAATCCGGTTGTCTCTGTTTTCCCTAGTCAACCACTACTCCGTCAAAATCCATACTCTCGGATGTTAAGAAGCACTGGTACTGACCAAATGCACTCAATTGCAAATTACTTTGGCATAAACTGAAGACTAGGGGTGTGTGTAGTTCATCAATGCCAGTAATTCTAAACACTAGGAACATGTAGATCAGCCTCTAAACATACCAGAACGTGTACGTCATAACCTCTAACAGACTGTATGCCGAGGAAATTTTGCTCTCATTTGTACCGTCAATGAAAGTTTCCAGGTTCTCATTTGTGCCTGTACACGGACCTCGATCGGTGTTGACAAGTTGAATGAAAGCTAATTCGATTTCAGATTCTGTGAAATTCTATAGCAGACTTACCAGCTAAACAGGTACACAGTACGTTCGGTTAGAGCAACATTGCAAACAAGGTAAAACACAGGCGACGTGAAAACAAAAGAGTAACGGACAGAATGACCGATAGCGAAGTAGCTACTAATGAACTAATAACCAACTACAGATTACAGACACTGATTACAAAAGCGGGAGGGTTGGAGCTTTTTTACGTCAAGAAGGATATCTGCCTGGTCTTTTGGTCTAATTGACGCAGACAAACTCATCAAAGTTTGGTCAGAAAGCTTAAGGGGTTTGGACAGCACGTATACGTATGATGAAAGCCGAGCACCATACCAGTGACCAGCCCGTACACTGAGGTCATTATTGTAAAAGTCTGTATAATTGTACCAGCCGTATTTTTTGTCCGTATCATGTTAAAATAATTTTCGCGTCACTAATTCTCTAAATTGTTTCGTGCGTTTAACTCCCTTCGGCCGCATTCGTATCCTCCTCTGTTCGTCTCGACAAATCACTGGTTATTTTCAAGACAGATTTCAAATGAGAAAATACAGTCATTTTCCATAGGAAGGGTTTTCAGTGGTCTGGTTGCGTGTCCTCAATAGCGAAAGATGCTAGAATAGAATTTCTGGTAATATAACCTTAGCCTTTGTGGCTTTCTGCTTATTCTTGAGGTCTTATTATTTTGCGAGGCTACAGAGGACGTAATTTGCGAGAACAATTTCAAATTAATATTTGGAATTGTGTTGTTTGTCTGTAATTGTACTTATCTCGGCGATGTTTCCTGAAGGATAAACCAATGACCACAGCACAATGAAGACTTGCTCAGGTCGTATTTTCTGTGACTTCGATGCCTGAAATCACTGTTGTTTTTCGTAAGACCAACCCAAAGGAAACTCAACGTTAACAAGAAAAACGCATACTCATTTATATTTCAGCGTGTCATTTGCGAATCGAGCCTTCTGTAAACTTGTAGTTCCTGTTCTCATTACAAGTTTTACTTATAATTTTGACTGTTCTCGACAGTCTGGTTCCGTCTGGAGGTCTTCGAAGCGCGCGTTTTTTACTGCTTACACAAAATCTCGCTATCAGCAGCTCATTTCTGATTTCCGTTTGGTGGTCATTCGTGAGTATCATGCAACTAAAAATCCCAAGTTCGTCTGGCTAGAGGGACCCTTCAATTTCCTCCACTTGAAATCAGCTAATTTTGTCCTTTATGTGCCATTCCGCTTGATTTCTCAGGAAATATATATGTATATATGTGTGCAAATGTATGTATATACGTATGTATATATGCACTATAATCATTATATAATCCCCTAAAAACGAAGACACTGGAGACAAACCAGCAACCGATATTAAATAAATGAAAGTGCGTCGGACTTTGTTGCTGAACGACGCTCACCTAACACGCATGAGGTCCTGACACATGATTAGTCCCTCAATGACCCATTGAATGTCATCCACTGACATTTGTCGTTTTTGTAGTGATCGGGCTAAGGTATGCTCGTACAATTTTTAGTTCATTCTTTCTTGAGAATTCTCCGTAAACTGCTTAGACCACTGGAGCTTCATACCTTCATTCTCGAGCTTGCTAAAGAACCGATAGACATCCCAACAAAAGAAAGAGCAGTGGCACAGACTCGAGCGGAGTCTGAAAAACACTGCAATGCTGAAAGGTTTCCAATAGTTAGCGCGTGTGGGTGGCGCTACCATTCAGGTGGCTGGTAGGGGATTTCTGCCGAGAAAACTGATGCGCTTAGTGGTGTAGGTCAATTGCAAAAGCATCAGCGCATAGGTAATCTCCTCATCACCATCAGACACATAGTGATTGTGAAAATCTACGTGATGATACGAGAATTGATTGCCGAGGCAATATGAGTTCATGGTTTGTGCTGTTGTGTTGCATTCTCACACGTTGTGCTACAGCACAATTCGACTGCCTAAATTTGGGATGTACTGGTTGATATTAGAAAGTAACTTAACTGTATGGTGTAGGGTGTAACATAACACGCACATACTATGGAGCTGAACTTGGTTATATACAGATCGGGAATTCGGAAACGCCACTTTGACAGATATCCAAAGCAAAAGAATCGGCCAGAGAATCAAGGCCGAAAACACAAAAGCATTCTGACAGTCTGCAAGGGGTCTGATTTTTGAAGAACTTCTCACATGAAAATAAAAGTGGGATGGGGATAAGTCGTAACTACTACGAATTAGGAAGTGTGCTCAATTGGTTGGGGCTACTCACAAGACCTTCATCAACGACGCCATAAGAGAGAAGTTGAAGCCGAATTTTTTCGGCTGATACTTTAAAGCGTATAGTAAAGCTCAGAATGAACAATCGAACTGCCCATTTTCTATCATTGTCGGGGAATTATTATGTGCAGTGGAACATACAGAGTTTAACGTCTAGTGAGGCTGCTTATAAGTGAACTGTAGTTCGTTTAGTTGTGGTTATTTATACACAGACAGAGTTGTTGCAAAGACACTGAGAAGTACCTATCTACAAAAGGCCGGTGTTATGCGGGTCAATCTCCAATAATTTCACTTTTTCCTGGATGGTGAAAACACAATGAACGATTCGGCCGAAAGGAGCTGAAAGGTCTTTGGCACATTTCTTCATCATAATGGGCGTCAAAGAACCAGGTCCGTTTGTCTTAGCCTTTCTGGTTCTTTGTAGGAGACTCAACGAATAAGGTTTGATTCTGCGACTGAGAAGGAAATAGCTCTCGGCTACTGAACAATAGTAGTAGGACCCACGATTAAGTTTACGTTGTTCAGAATTACTCACAGATCAGTTACCACGTAGTCTCTTCAGCGTATTCCAAAAATTACGGCACATTCTGTCCCATTTCCTAGATAAAAACGAGTATGGTGTTTCACCACATGTTTTATCAAGTCACTGCAGTGATTATAATTGTATTCTATACATTTTGATCCGAAGTACCTTTGTGAAAATCCGTCAGCTGGGATATAGAAGGCAACACAAAGCGAACTTAAACTCGAGATGGAGTTTTGTCCTATAAGTGACGTCGATATATGCTGAAAAGCCGTAAGGCTGTGTCATTCTTACTGAAAGTCATCAACAGTGTCCATCTCACAAAACTTCAGGGAGTTTCGAACTCAGAACCCCCAGGCTGGTAGTTTGAGCACAGCTAGTCACGAGTGGCCGTCTCTAATGACAGAATTTACGCCCTCCATTTTTCATTCACGCGATCTATAACACGTGGTCAACTGCTGACTGGATCCTCGAGTCACAACTTCTCAGGTGGCTTTCTCACAAAACGTGTGAAATCATCCCAGCTCCCGAGCCACCTATAGATTGTTGGTAGTGTGAGATTTAGAACGAACTCTCCATTAAAAATTCCCAAATCTCATCCCACTACCAACAACCTACAAGTAGTTCAGAGAAAGAATAATTTTGTAAGGTGAGTGCAACCAGTATCTGGGAGGTCATCAATCGAGGATGCAGTCACAGTTGACCATACCAGATAGATTCCTTAAATCAAGGAGGAGCGGCTTCATATTTGCTTGAGTGCGGGTTAGGCACACTGCCGGCCAGCCGCCTAATAAATATCATGAACCGAAGATTCAGTGTGATTCTGATTTGGCCTCCCATTTTCGTCATTTAAATTCCTGAATAAATATTTATAGCCGCGCGTATTCAGTTTGTTGTCCAATCACTCAGAAATAAAGACAAAAATTTGGGAACCAGAATTATCCGATGAGCTCTGAAGTGAGAGGAGTTTAAATCATCCAGCTCCCGAGCCACCTATAGATTGTTGGTAGTGTGAGATTTAGAACGAACTCTCCATTAAAAATTCCCAAATCTCATCCCACTACCAACAACCTACAAGTAGTTCAGAGAAAGAATAATTTTGTAAGGTGAGTGCAACCAGTATCTGGGAGGTCATCAATCGAGGATGCAGTCACAGTTGACCATACCAGATAGATTCCTTAAATCAAGGAGGAGCGGCTTCATATTTGCTTGAGTGCGGGTTAGGCACACTGCCGGCCAGCCGCCTAATAAATATCATGAACCGAAGATTCAGTGTGATTCTGATTTGGCCTCCCATTTTCGTCATTTAAATTCCTGAATAAATATTTATAGCCGCGCGTATTCAGTTTGTTGTCCAATCACTCAGAAATAAAGACAAAAATTTGGGAACCAGAATTATCCGATGAGCTCTGAAGTGAGAGGAGTTGGTAGGAGTTTGTCCATGGTTTACGTGGACTTTCTCGCAAGTGCCAATAGAGTTGTTTTCCTCTGAGGAACTGAAAATTTCGAATTTCGCTTTTCATACCGAATTCGTAACTCAAGCTCTGAAGGCTGTAGGTAGTATGTCGATCCGCTGCAAGGTGTATATCAGTGAACTTTTGGAGGTACGTAATTTTGTTTCGGAATATATTATCATGGTGACAACATCAAGACAAGGATTTGCACGTTCGTTGCCGTTCATTACCACCATTGATAAATATGGTCAAAATCGTCCAAACTGGTGTTGGATACTAATCACTCTGCTCATTTTGTCCCTGTCTAAACCCAATGAGTTACCAAAATGTACACTAAACCGCAAGAATAATATTGCTAGTTTCGATCAATACGAGTAAAAACTGTAGAATGCCATTTCAAACGATCAGTTAACTACTTTGAACTTGTCATGATTTTCTGCCTTTTCTGAGGGTTGTAAAAAACTGGGATATCGCTTTTTTTGCCGACAGTCAGTGGTTAAGACTGGTTCTGTGACTACCATATTTTATTGTACTGGTTCACAAAGAGATCAGTTTTGACATCACTCTCGTTAGATAGTCGAATATTACTGTTTAACCGCTACGCTTGTAGGATTTGAACCTGTCAGGAACGAGTGTAATCAAGTGATTCGCAGACATGATCCAGAACACTTGATTAATCGATCATCATAGCATATCCGTTAAAATTGGAATAACAGCCTTTAGTAAGACAACTATGCTAGTCGTAATGGATGCGGGTGTTGCTAATCACATCCACTAGGTTCGTGCGCATGTAGTCACTGGTATGCGACGCAATCACCTGGTCGTGAATGTAACCAATCGTTATTAGGTTCGTATCCAACTGGCAGCAAATGTAAATGTGATATCGTCTTGTAACCACATTGGGTTCGTTAAAAAAGCATGCAACTCAGATGCTTGAACGTGTCTTCTTTCAAATCAGAGAGGATACGGGGGAACTCTGTTCAAACATATTAAATAGTACTGTATAAGAGCCATTAACCAAAAGCGCTTCCGTACTGATTGCTGATACTTTGTTCCGCCACGCTCTGAGGCCGAAACCATTCCCATCGCGCGAGTGCGCTAATATGGATGGAATACCTATTGTACTGGACAACGGTTCTTTTAACATAAAGGCTGGGTATGCTGGGGAAAGTGCACCCAGGGTTCTTGTGCCAACCCTTCTAACTAGAACTTTCTCAGCACGCGGACGCAGTGATTGGTACGTGGGAGAAAATGCCAAGCCCTGGTTAAGGCACCTACCCGTGGCTTGTCCAGTATCACATGGTCAGATAATCGACCTGGATGAATTAGCTATCATTTGGCACTATCTGTATTCAAAAGAGCTTCGTGTGAATGCGGTGGATCACCCACTCATGCTGACAGAATATCCGTTATCACCAATACGACAACGTGAAAAGCTGATTGAGCTTGCTTTCGAAAAGTTCTACATTCCCGCCTTATTTTCTTCCAACCAATCAGTTCTGAGCCTGTACGCATCTGGATTGACGACCGGTTTGACGGTAGATATCGGCAACGATACAATTAATATTGCACCAGTCATCAACAACTGGTTGGTCCGCGACGCTACTAGACAGCGAACGATTGGCGGAAAAGATGTGACTCACTACATGCAGCAACTGCTTACTTTATCCAATCCAAACGCTGCTCGATTTATCACACCGGAAATTGCACAACACTTCAAGGAGATACTATGTTATGTTAGTCCGACTTCAGGACCACTTCCTGGGATAAAACCAGTCACCTTTCAGACGCCTGATGGTCAGATTGTGAAAATCGAGCATGAACGTGTTTTGGCACCGGAAATTTTGTTTCATCCTGAACGTGTTGGTTTAGAAGGAAACAGTCTGCATCTAAATACCCACGCAGCCATTAAAAACAGTCCATCCGATAGCCAGTCATATCTTTATGACAATATTGTGGTAAGTGGTGGATGCACAATGCTTAACGGGTTGACAGGACGGCTGGATCACGAAGTTCGAGGGCTGGTGTCGAAAAATACCTCAGTTCGCGTAATCGCACCAGAAAATCGTAAATACTCCGTGTGGGTCGGTGGATCAATATTGGCTTCTTTGAACTCATTTGCAGACTTTTGCATCACAAAGAAAGAATACGAAGAGTCCGGAAGTCAAAATGTGAGTCGGAAATGTCAGTAGTCTGTTTAACAATCAGTCTCATCTCCCTGAAAACCACCTGCCAACCAAAACATTCGCGTCTCACACGAAAAATGAGCAAGACGAAGGAAAATAGTTCAACGGCGCCTGCGTTCCATCTGTAATATTGTATGATATCATGATCGGCAAAAACTTCAGCGAATCGGCCTGTTTATTATCAGTCCCGTTGTCACTTATCTAGATTTCTATCATGGAAAGCATTCAACGAATACGGTGGCTTTTATATTAAATGTGGGAAATCATGAATACACTACTTCAATATTCACGGCGGACAAATGAGAAGTCTATCGTACCAGTACGGAGTAAGTCCACAGTGGTTCTCCAAAAGGAGGCTTGGGTACCTGGTAAAATTACTCCTTTCTAAGAAGAAATCCTTACTGGGGTGTGTGAATCACACCCCTTGATTCACGTGGCCCTCAATGACCTTTAAGCCATTCTCAATTCTTTCTGTACAATACAAGTTAAATTGCTGTGGTTGCGAAACCGAGCCAGCCAAAACTGTCATCATATTTTTCAACTGAATATACTACACAAAACCACCTCACTTCTCATCTGGTATGATATTCGAGGTATCATAATATATCTTCGTCACCTAATATGTCACTCACCGGTTTGTTGAAATGACAGCTGCGTATTATTTGGTTTTAGTTAGGACAAAGTTTGATGGAAACACAGGAACTGAGCCTACTTAATGAGCCCCAAGACGGATGAAGCCGGTCCTGAACTTTCGAAGAATTTTCGGCAACCGTGGCTCATTAAGAGGTAATTAGCCTGATTCGTCCAAACTGATAATTACGAGTGAGTGGTTTGGCGACGTGGGGTTGCACCATCGCGTAGACAGGGTATACCTAAATCTCAACTCTGCCATTAAAGTTCTTGAGAGGAGGGGAAAATTTAATTGACATATTTGACTGAGATGTGGGAACACTTGTCAGACACTCAGTTATTTACCAAGTTTACTAATAACTGAACGTCGACTGGTAATAATAGTAGACGCGAGTGGATGACTTTCTAATGGTTGCGAATCCTGACTACTAGCTGTCCTGTGTAGGTTCTACCCCTTGCTTCCCATGGTAAAGCAGAAACCTACCTACAGCCTTCTCGATATCATTACCTATTATTCACACTGTCCGAGGAAGATTCGCATTGCAAAAACAGAGGGAAACGTCGTCAGAATACTACTTTATTTTGTGTGCCAAATTCCATCAGTAGGTTAGCGACAAACAAAGCAGGAAGACAGCGAATTTGTTCTGCTGAACTACGAATCTGAACGCTATCAGGAGACAGCGTGTTAGTAAAGGTAACCCTATGTAGGCAGTTTACCTCAAAATAAATGTTTCGATATCTACCGAAACAAAGTTCATATTTAACATTTGTTGTAAATATGTGGCACAAAACCCAGTAAAAGACAGCGTTGTTCATTATGGGTTGAAGGGCGTTTAACTACACACTCTTCTTACCAGTCTGTTTGAAAACATCACATACTCATTGAAATGTAGCCTGTATAGCACAGTGTGTATCGGTGGAGTGCTTTCTAGCATCGAAAGATCGGGCGTCCTCTCCAACTCTATCCTGTTCTACAAAACGTAGTAGCAGTTATCAAACGGTACGATACTGTTGGTAGTTAAGAGCACTACGGTTTCCTGCACCACAGCTCCCTCTTTCTGTTAGAATATGCATCATCTATCCGTTTTCCTGTAAAGGTAGAAAAACGGCACCGTGGATATCTGAAACCTTGAGCATATCTATGGGTTGCTTGTTCACCCATATTTCCCAGTCTTCAGTGGGGGAGCGGTCCTTCAAAGCCTTATCAGACTGCTCCAAAAACCACAGAATCCAGTGTAGCTTGTTCAGCTTGGATCTCCAAGCTGATAAAAACGGATAAGGAGGCATGCCCCCTCATTCTCAACTGGATTAAAGGCCGAGTGTACCAGTTTGTGAGGCCGAAAATCTCCCAAATATGAATAGCTAATCTCACATTCAGTGACCGGCCCACAGAAGTAAGTGAACGGTAATTTCCCACCTACTCTGTTCTCGGTTTTCAATGAACTACTTATCGGAAATTTAACCCTACATACCATTGAACGATAACGTGTCAAGGATACACGATTGCATCAATTTAAAGAAGTGCTAACAGTGTCCCTGCAAATTCGATCCATTGTTCCGAAGCTCACCAAACTGAAGTTGGTCGTATCCACCCAAACAAGCACGCGTACCCATGTTTGCAGCTGAAAACTTCCTAAAACTTTCTCTGCCTGTCCTCAAGATAATCAGTGATCACAAAATGGGCACAGTTTCTTCATCTTGAGTAAAAAGACCATCACGAGGAAATGACGACATCATGTTACTCCCCTCGTTTTTGGTATCCAACTTCTAACCACGGACGTCATGTCAACCAAGTTAAAGTCGTGTCATTTTCCTTTACCTACACGTTTACTAGCGAGCATTCAGGAGTATTCTTCCACCCGAATAATTCGGAATCACTATTCCATATTTATACCCAGAATCCAAATATTTGCCGTTGCGCAGCATACAACGCCACTGCCTATTGATCGTCGTGCATTTGATCAAATCTTTCGAATATATTTCCATTTCCTGTCCAGTCCAATGACTTTGTGCCAAAAAAGCAGCTTCGAAAAGTACAAGCTTCCATTTACACCATTTTTGTTGACTGGTTTGTTGGCTTCCATTCTGTGCACTCCCGGAAACTGAGTAACTAAGGGCTTATGGTAGGTGGATGTCCAAACACGGATCAGTAGCGAGTGTTTTCTGTGTTATGTCACCATTGATAACGTTTTTCCCATAGAGAAGAAAAAGTTAGCGTTAGTGACATTTTAGTTAGCTCATTTTGTGGTGTTTGTTCTGGTGGCACATTGGTCGAGTTATTAGCTTCAGGATGTTTGCCTCAGCGTGCTGCGGACCTTTACGGGACTGCTTGCCCACCCCGTCAAACCCCACTTCCCGCAATCTGCCAGCTTCACTACTTTTCGACGCAGCACAAGCACAGTTTCCCTGCCTCACCCCCTACCTCAATGTGCGGATCTTGAGCTCTCACATCAAAACTGTGCGGTCGATCAAGTTTATCGCTCAAAATGAAGGCCACCCGGCGGAAGCGTGGCCAAAACACACTGCTAGTTTGCACAATCCACAAGTAAAGATGCCACAGGGCTTTGACATTTCTGTTAATATCCGATCGACCTTCTGGTTGAACAAAATCCTAAAGTAGGGAAATAAACTTTCATCTCGTTATTATACATGCTAATATAATGCGCCACCAGTGACTGAAATTAGCTAGACCTGGCCTAAGTTGTCAGTATCCTGCCGCTAAGCCACGCTTGCATCATGAGAGTAATCTATTTGAACTCGCCCTTGATAAGTGGTTTTGTAGTAGTGTCAATACTTTAGGATGTAGCGTAATTAAACAGGACCTTTGCCTGCAATATGCTTTTACGAAGAAATAAGCTTACGAGGCATTCCAGGACAAAACAGCCCACTAGGAAATCAGTGAACTGAGAAGAAAGTGATTTAGAAAGTACCATGATAAAAGGCGCCAACTTTCGACTGTAAATTTATTTTAACCCTTACATTGATGATCACCAACGGTTTCAGGGAAGCCCGCTTTTGCCTACTGACGTCTCCCCGATGAAATCAAACATCCTTCATTTCACTTTCGAGAGTTGGAACCTGTTTATTCCCATAACATCACTTCTTAGTTTGATGACGAATGACTAATCATCGAACTTACAGTACTTTTAAGTTTTCTCAGCGCAAACTGTTCTTACCACCGCTAAGCACACACCATTATTTATTTTGTTACACAGGAGCTATGGAACCGCCCTTTCTTGTGGTAGCGTGGTTTCAAGGTCTGATGGCGTATTCGGTTTGTACACTGGGGAAACCAGTATAGTTAAATTTGACATACTGAGATGAAATCCGGTGCTATGCAAACGGAGTTCGCATTTACCAACTTTTAATGAGAATTGCTCCTTGTAGGAGGGCAGTAGGACCTAAAGCGTCAAGAAACTTCACTGTTTCTTAGGTTTTGTCCATAAATCTAATGATAAAAGCTGCAGGTTATGGACGAAGTTGCCCTTTTAGGGAAGCGTTTCCTGTTAGAGTCAAGGTGTATTTTGGGTACCGTAAACACCACGTCCGAAAATAATTACGCTATTTAACTCGCCGAAAATAATTACGCTGTAGATATATCGTAATTGAAGCACACTCAACGGAATGAAACGAGGAAGTCCATTTAGTTGTGAAAAATGTGGAATATAATACTATGGGTCTAAACGGAGGTCTCCTTTTGTTCTTCAAGCTGAGTTGCACTGTGGCAGATGTAAGCCTGTCCAGTAGACTTTTCCGTATCACCGTCATTTTTAATTTCAGTGGGAAGTGACATGTCAGTGACGCAATCACGCGAACTGGTCTCGGCTAATTGATTCCCAAAGGAGTGTCGAAGTGACACAAACAAGCTGTCGTAAGAAAAATGGTCACGATCACTTTTTCTTGACACTCGATAAACTCCCTACTCGTAGATATGGAGTTGTGTAGCAAATGCTGGATGTTAGGGGCAGAATAATAGTTTGAATATGCATAAACAACTTCAGTATTGGGTGACTTCAAAAATACCTGTATCTGTTGGAATGGAAGAAATATAATTAATGGTATTAAAGCTACCTGACCAGCTCGGTGTGGCCTTGAGCCAACCTGTGAGATTACCACCATAATCCCCGAAAGAAAAGTACATCAGCTATTTGGTCAAATTGACCAGATTAAGCATAGCCCCGCACTGCGGCAAGATCTCTGGACAAAACATACTAACTCCTAAATTGCGTAGAGTGATCAGAAGAATAGTCTGCTTACGTCCTTCCAACTACTGAAATGGATCTGGCTTTCGATCCCGTCAGCCAATGTGCAAAGAAGTTTCTCGAGCGTACCATCTGAAATGTTGAGAAGAAACGCCACATGAACCATTATGTCCC